GTCAAACAACAATTCTGCTGAGAGGTTGGCACCTCTGAACTTCGAAGTGCTATAAAAAACGTAACACTGTGTTTCTAAACTAAAAATTGAAATTGTCCACAGAAATCAACTGGAGATTTCATACAAATATGAAATTAGGGGAATTGAATAATTGGGTGTCGAGTTACAATCGAAAAACTGAGCCCATAATTGTGCGCCATTCTTCAGACAGCCACTCCAACGTACACCGATGCTCCATCAACGATTTGGGCGATACGTGGCGGTATTCAACCGTTGGCCACACCACGTTGCGGGTAATTTGAATTGACGGGATGAATTGAATTTATCCGCTTTGAATTGAATTCCGAACTATTGTTTATAATCGTTAAAAGCAATTCAGCAATTCAGTTAAACAAAAGCAATTCAGCTTCGATGGAAACAATTGTCCATTGTCGGATTGGCAACGAAGTGGCATTTATATTTGCATTGGTGGCGGGGTCCTGCTTTTATTTGTTTTTTTCTTTTTCGTTGTTCTGATCTACATTTTCAGGTGAGTAAAATATAATAAAATAACTTGAAACCAATCTAATCTTCTCTCCAGACATACAAAAAGGTCAAAAAGGTTGACTGTATTGACTTGAAAAATATTCGTATGGATATTCAAAGCTATCTATAGATATCTATAGGCAACTATTGCCCTTATTTAGTTGTTAAATTTGTTTATTCAATAATTACCTTGCAAAAGCTCAAATCCCATTTCAGAGAAAAACGCAAAGAGGCGGCTCGTCGAGACGCCGAATGGCAAATTCCTTTTCTCACTTTGGAGAAACTCGGCAAAGCTAAATCGGTTAGCATGAAATCATTTTTATAGTTCGATTCTTTTAGCACGAAAACCGAAGCATGCACTCGTTGCACTCGATGCGATCCTCGAAATCTTCTCACTCGAAATTCTCGATGAACAGCAAACAGGACACAGCTGACCTTGGATATTTTGTGCTAAACGGTAATTGTGAATCGTTTCATTTTACATCTAAACCATTTAGATGAACCTGTTTTTGCTTATAAATACAAAATGATGCCCCGGTTGATCGTTGAAGACTTTGCCGAGTTCAGAATGGTAAGTTTTCGAGCTGATCTTTAGCTTAATGTCTTGCATTGACATTCAGCTGTCTTGTACTGACATGCAGCTGTCTTGTACTGACATTCAGCTGTCTTGTATTGATATTCAGCTGTCTTGTACTGACTCAAGGCAATAAGTTGAATCATAGAAATGCGTAAAAATTGTGTTTATGCATGATTATGATTAAGATTGTGCATAAAAGAAATTAGAATTTTAGCTACGTAAGCTAGAACACGACAATGTGCATCGTTTTATTGGAATCTGTCACGATCATGCTCCGATGATGTCCATTTGGAAATTTGCCTCGAGAGGAACACTGGAGGTATTTCGATTTGCTGACATTACGCTGTTGAGAGTTTTTGAGAGTTTTGAAAGTTTTAAAGCTAAAAAATTCTAGGAAGTGATTGCGAAAGGATCGATGAATCTGGATGCTTTCTTTGCCATGTCATTGATTCGAGATCTCAGCGAAGGCCTTCAATTCATTCATCGCTCATTTCTCGGTGTGCATGGGAACTTGTGGTTTGTCATGTTTAGCATTCTAGCAACAATTAGGCCACTATTCTTGGGATAGTAGGCTAATTTTTTGAACTTTTTCTCCATTCACTATTGATTTGTACCGATTTGGTTTACTAGAAAATGTACCTGTTTTGAATTAACAAGGGAAGGTCACGAAATCAAGGTGGCTAATCGAAATAAGACCATCCGATACAGAATTTTACGCTGATTCCGGATCTGCTGTCCGTTTTAGGTCGGAATCGATAAATCAATAGGTCGAAATCGCAAGGAATTTAGGGACAAGGGAAGGTCACGAAATCAAGGTGGCTAATCGAAATAAGACCTAGACTATTCGATGCAGGATTCCAAATCGATCCCGAATCTGCTGTCCGTTTTTGCGAAATAAATCGGAATCACAAGGAATTTAGCAGAGAAGTTTTTAACTTCTCTTATAACACTTGCGCGCCCGAGAGAGAAATGATTGCGAGAGAGGAATGTAGCGGATAACGTGGCGGAATACAAAGCTGTAGGTCGAGGTTTCGTGTCAAGGTGTCAAGGCAATTACGAAGAGAAAGCGGAACTCTATAGCTGTCCAAAAAAAGAAAAACTTAAAGAGAGTCCAACCCTCGATCTACAACTTTGCATTCAGACACGTCATCCGCTACACTAAGCAACCATTACTTTGTCCCGTGCGCAAACGTTATAAGAGAGGCTAAATTCCCTACGATTCCGACCTATTTAGCAAAAAGCTGTTGCTTGCTTTCTGTCAGATTTGGATTGTTCCTCCTGATTCAATTTGAATTTGCCTGAATTTTAAAATTCATGTACATTCATGTAATCCAAACTTAAGTTTTAAACATTCTAATGATTTTACTCAGCTCTCAAAATTTGCTTTTATTTCAGCTCTCGAACGTGTTGGATTGACGAGAGATGGCAATTGAAAGTGAGCGGCTTCGGTTGCACGAGTCTTCGAAGAGGAGAGAAAATGGAGAGAAAAAGTAAAACAGCTAAAAACTGAACTTTATTGTTTTGCAATTACACTCAAAATTCTCTCAACTTTAGGACAACTATGGCTAGCCCCAGAGCTTCTCCGATCTCCACAAATCAATGCCACAAAAGAGGCCGATGTTTATGCATTTGGCATCATTTGCTCGGAGATTGTCACAAGGAAAGAAGTCTTTGATCTATCGAATCGAGATGAGAAAACAGAAGGTTTAAGAAACTTATATTGTTAATTTGAAGAAAAAACTTCAGAACTTGTGTATCTTCTGAAAAAAGGAGCTTCGAATCCACTTCGACCGAATCTAGTAGTGAGCGAGGAAATGGAGTTGAATCCGGCTGTGGTGGGTGCAAACCTGGCCAAGAAACCAAAAACGGCAAGCTGGCCTTTAAAGCTTTTAAAGCTTCATTAAACAATTACATTGATTTGAATACGATAAAGAAAGAAAAGATTTACATTAGACTTGAGACTTTTCGGTTTCGGGAAATTTTGAAATTTTTCTTTTCATCCTCACCACTTTAAAATCAACTTTTCCATTTTTCTTTGTATTATTAGATAGTTTTTCAAAGCTCTATCTAATGGCGAAAAGAAAATTTCGTACTTTACCGTTATACCTCCCCATTTTTCCCTAAGCACCAGAAAAACCCGCCTAATGGTGGGTTTTTCTTGCTGGGTGTTTTGGGGTTAACGCATAGTTTGAGCTCTCGAGTTAAAAGGCTCGAGTTAAAGGGCTCGAGTTAAAGCTCTCGAGTTAAAGGGCTCGAGTTAAAGGGCTCGAGTTTGAGCTCTCGAGTTAAAGGGCTCGAGTTAAAGGGCTCGAGTTTGAGCTCTCGAGTTAAAGGGCTCGAGTTAAAGGGCTCGAGTTTGAGCTCTCGAGTTAAAGGGCTCGAGTTAAAGGGCTCGAGTTTGAGCTCTCGAGTTAAAAGGCTCGAGTTAAAGGGCTCGAGTTAAAGCCTCGAGTTAAAGGGCTCGAGTTAAAGGGCTCGAGTTTGAGCTCTCGAGTTAAAAGGCTCGAGTTAAAGGGCTCGAGTTAAAGCTCTCGAGTTAAAGAGCTTGAGTTAAAGCTCTTGAGTTAAAGCTCTCGAGTTAAAGGGCTCGAGCTCGAGCATTATAAATGCAAATTTTCATGGGTGACGTTAATCAACAAAACATCAATTGTTATTAAAAAAAATTTGAGGAAAAGTCATGGTTTAGTTTTTTAAAAAAGTTCGTCCGAAGACGCCGCCATTTCATCCTCCCCAACCCAATACATTAGCTTCTCAATCACCTAATTTTCAGCTGCACATGATCCGTGATTGTTGGGCAGAAGAGTCAATCTCTCGTCCAAACATTTCCACAATTAACCGAATCATAAAGTCGATGGTTGTAAGTTGAAATTAAGATAAAATATCGATCAAATTTTAGACTCAAGGTGAAAAGGGAGGACGAGAGAATTTGATGGATCACGTTTTTGGATTGATGGAATCGTATGCGGAGACGCTGGAAAAAGAGGTATCGTTGCTTGAATGTTCTGAGGAAACTTCGAAAGATTCTAATTCTAATAAGATTCTAATTCTAATATTGAAAATGACGTTTAAAAAGAGTTTTCCTCGTAGTCATTGATCGGGTTGGTGAATTGAAAACTGCGGGACTTTGAACTAAAATTTATTCAACATAAAACCATCAATTCACTCCAAATAATTTCCATTATTATTGACGACTTCTGCCCATTTTACAGGCAATTTGTGGATTCCTCTTTCGTAGTAGGATTTTGGTTTGTGTGTGAGACAAGTGTGAGACTCAAAAATGGAGGACTGGAGATGGAGACTGGAGATGTCCCAGTTTGAGCACTTTATTCAAAAGAAACCCATTTTGGTGTCAATAGAAAAGTTGTAGAGAATCAAAAATTAGGCCTATAGCCAAATTTTCAAAAAGATACACTTAGTAGTTTCGCTTAAAATGCAAGTTTTGTGAAAAATTGGCACAATTTGGCGTAAATTTGGCATTTCTTGAAAACCAAAATGAAAAATGAAATATTGGTCAAAATACGGCTGAAAAAATGCCCGTACAGTAAGGCAGACAGAAAGACAGACAGAAAGACAGACAGATACCGTAAACCCCCTCCCCTCCCCCCTCCTTTTCCGTCATTTCATTTGTGAAAATTCGTAAATTTGACATTTCTTGAAAACCAGTTTTTGAATCGTTCTGAAAATTTGGATATAAGCTTAATTTTTGATTCTCTACAACTTTTCCATTGACGCCAAACTGGGGTTCTTTTGAAGAAAGTGCTCAAACTGTCACATATGACCATAGCCGGCAGTTTTCAATTCACCAACCCAGTAGCTTAACAAAAATCTGTTTCAGGTACAAGATCGGATGGTTGAGTTGGTGGAAGAGAAAAAGAAAAGTGATATTCTGCTACAAAGGATGCTACCAAAGTATTTTATTTTCATTTTATTCGTATTTTACTTGTATTTTACATTTTTTCCACGTATTTTACGTATTTTACAGAGTTTAGAAGTATCTTAAACTAACGAAATCAATTTTTTTTAGACAAGTGGCCGAAAAATTGAAAATGGGTCAATCTGTCGAGCCAGAATCTTTCGAAAGCGTCACGATTTTCTTCTCCGATGTTGTCCAGTTCACTAATTTGGCCGCTAAATGTACTCCACTGCAGGTAAGCACTAAATGTCTCTACGGTAACACAGAGCTCATTGTAGATCGTCAATTTGCTCAACGACTTGTACACGATGTTTGACACGATCATTGAACAGCATTCTGTTTATAAAGTGGGTAACAATTCGGTAACAACAAACAATATTTGGTTCAAACAATATTATATCCCAAATTTGCATAGATATACAGTACTGGACAATGAAATATGATATTTGAAAAACGATCGTCACTTTCACGCGTCTGTAACTCCCTTGTCTTTGAGTTTAAACTATTAGTGTTATACATTTTCTGAAAGCTCTTTTCAAGGGCTACACAATGGTAATATTAATATTTAGAAATACCGTAAAGACAAGGGAGTTACAGACGCCCGAAAGTGACGATCTTTTTTCAAATATGATATTTCATTGTCCAGTAGTGTAGGTTTGCATTAAACAAATACCGTAAAATCTGTAACAGAAGCCTCAGGGCTTTTACAGGGTAACAAGAAATAACCCTTAGAAATGACCCTTAGAAATAACCCAAGAAATAACCGTCCTTAAAATTCAACACATCTCTCTTTGCTCTCTCTCTTTGCAAATCTTTGGGCGCTTATTCCTCTTTTGTAAGCGATCAGAATTTTTTGCTGGAATGCTGGAATTTTTTGCTGGAACTTCCTAGCTGGAGTGCACACAACAGGATTCAGCTTTTTGATCTGTCGTTATCGCGTTTTAACTCAGAAACGCACCGATAGTGCCAAAGAGGCTACTATTACAGCTTTTAAGCTATTTTTACGCTATTTTTTGTCACTAACCAGTTTTTACTTAATTTGAATTCAGGTGGAAACGATAGGTGATGGTTATCTGTGTGTATCGGGTCTCCCCTACCGTAATGGCATTCAACATGTTCGTGAAATCGCCGAAATGTCGCTGAGCTTTTTGACCGTCGTACAGGTAACGATAAACGCTTTTAAATGGCTTTTGAATGGCTTTTGTTAAGAGATAAGCAAAATATCGTAATTATTCTTATAAAAGACGTACAAAAAATGATGAAGTCCCGCCCCTCTGACAGCTAAAAAGTTGCATCAAATTGCGAGTTTTCAAGCAAAATCTCTGAAACTTTGCCACAACATGCACATTCCATAGACACAGCTATAGAAGTAACCAAATTAAATTCGCTTCACTTATCACTAAGAAAACTCAAGATCTCTGAACCGCGTGTGGGCGGGGCTTCATCATTTTTGGTTTCATCATTTTCATCATCTTATTAGAATACCGTATTTACTCTATTAGTGGGGTCCCCCACTATTTTTTCAATCCCCTTCCAGACGACCCCACTATTAGAGAGGACCCCACTATTAGAGAAATTTAAAAGAACATAAAACCAAAGTTTTAAATTGAAAAGATATCAATTTTTCTCCGAAATTCTTGACAAAACAAGTTTGGCTTCATATTTGATTTAGCTTTAACCGTAACAAAACATTAACAAACAGTAAAAGAACTAATCCAAGAGATCAACAATTGATGTATCACTTTCGTTACCAATATCTTCTTCCAATTCGATTGATGAAAGGTGATTGTTGATTCCGGAGATGGCGCGTTCAATTCGAGCATCGGCGAGTTGTTTGGCTCCTTCGGGGATTCCTTCAACTTGCGACCACCTCCTTGAATCCTCTTCATCGTCTTTCCGTTCTCTTTCTGCTGCTTCTCCAGTTGTTCCTTGTGGTTGCACCATTTTTGAATCACGCTTTGCTTGACGCCATATTTTTTGCAGTTCCCTGTTTGTTCATCGTCTTCTCTGCTTCCGCAATCGCCCTGAGCTTTGTCGAAACGTCGAAGACTCTTCTCTTCTTTGAAATCGGTTCTTCAGAATCGCTCGAAGAAGACATCGCGCCTAAAAAATCAAAATTAACTAAGAAACGTAACTAAGTAACAAAACATAAAAATACGACAAATAAAGTTTCTTTAAGCAACAATCGATTTTTAAATTATGCTTGAAAAACATTTTTTCCAGAGACAACAATGGCCTAAGTAGGTATACGGTAGCGTTTTATGGAGCGCGCACTTTAGAAAACTGATTTTCACTAATCGATTCCACTGTTTTTTTTCAACCCCCCTCCAAACGACCCCACTATTAGAGAGGACCCCACTATTAGAGAGGACCACTAATAGAGTAAATACGGTATTGGATTTTCTCTAATAGTAGTCCACCTCGCCGAGCCGAGTTGATGACTATTTTACGGCTTTCAAAGTTTTCACAGAAGCTCAACACTCTAATCCCCCACTAGATCTGATCGTCAGCTACATTTTCCAAACCCACATCGATAGGTTCTGATAAACAGTTCTCGAGATTTCGAGCAACTTAGGCGAGCCTTAGGGTGCACTACTATTAGAGAGAAAAAGGCATTTGATTTAAGGCATCGAGAACTGAGTTAGGCTCAATAACTTGAGTTTTCAAAATTCTGCCCCACTTTGCATAGTTTTAATCAAAGCAAAGCAAAGCAATCCCAAGTATGCGTTTGTCGTCTATTTTTTTGATCCATCTAGTTCAGCGTTTTAATCTTTGCCCCCTAAGCGTTGAATGACGTCAATTTGTTGCCATATTTGTTGCCATATTTGTTGAACTCGTTCAGCTGAATCAAATTATTCCAAAATTGTTCCTATTTGCTTACTACTATTCTATTAATACACCTTTTTTGCAAATCCCCCCACTAGATCTGATCGTCAGCTACATTTTCCGACCCCACATCGATAGGTTCTGATAAGCGGTTCTCAAGATTTCGAGCAACTTAGGCGAGCCTTAGGGTGCACTACTATTAGAGAAAATACGGAAATTATGGTATAGTTCTATTTTAGGCATTTCGGATTCCCCATCTCCCATCCGAAACGATCAATCTTCGAATCGGAATGCATTCGGGCTCTTGTGTAGCTGGGGTTGTCGGTTTGGCTATGCCAAGGTAAAGCAATAAAGTTAACGACTTGAAAGTTAACGACTTTATCAATTTCAGATATTGTCTATTCGGAGACACCGTCAACACAGCTTCCAGAATGGAAAGCAACGGAAAACGTAATGCTTAAAGTTGAGATAAGACATTGAACAGTTCATTTAGCTGGCCGAATTCACATCTCTGGCGAAGCGGAGGCTCTGTTGAGACAAGTGGGAGGATATGAGACAGAAACGAGAGGAGAAGTCATCATCAAGGTATTCAAGCATTTAACTATTTAGGCAACTGGAAGGATTTAAGTTTAACTTTAACTTTAACTTTGACTTTAACTTTGACTTTGACTTTAACTTTAACTTTAGCTTTAGCTTTAACAAGGATTGAATTCCTGTTGGACCAAGTCGACAAAGCATTCATTCAGGGCAAGGGCGTGATGGAGACTTTTTGGTTGAACGGTCGATCATCGACGGGATCCTCTCACAATCAGCCTCGTCTCTTACGCCGCTCCTCACCCCTCCAAACATCCACAAATACTCGTCTCTTCCATTCTCGTGAACCCACTTCCCCAATGCAAAATGAGAGGTCAATGATATCAACTGATCAACCAATTCTACCCAATTATGATGAGGCTGAAGGAATGTATCGAAAAGCGAATCCGAGAAAAAACAGCTAAATGACCTTGACTGGAGACACCTCTTACTAACTCATTTTTTGCTTTCTTTCAGATTTTATTGTTTCCGATTAAAACTTTATATTTTGAGTCAACAATAACAGCTTCATTGTTTTTCAATTCGACTGTAATAGTAGCTGTAGTACGACAAGAGAACGGTGTAGACATTTAGATCTACAAACAATTTCTATTGGGTTGGGGAGAATGAGTCGGCGCCAAACTTTAAAGGGACTTTTTGCACACATAAAGCCTTCTTTAAACATACGTTTGGTTTCATCAAAAGGATCCACTATTTCTCTACAAAATGACTTTTGAGAGATTCCACAAAGCTTTTCTTTCGTGGAGTTTATGAACTTCCAAACGCAGCTGGTTAAAATGGCAAAGAGTCCGACTCATCATTTGAACAGTTTCTTTCACATAAACCTTCTTTGGTGTTTATATAAAAAAGATAGAGCACATTCAATTACTCAAGTTGCCAAATTTGCAGGAAGATCCCACCAATGGTTTTTTCTAGATGACAGTTTGTAGTTTTTGTGAAAAAATGGCTTTTTCTTGAGCGGAGGCGCTGTTTGAATTTTCTTTTAAATGTCATTTTGTAGAGAATTAGTTAACCATTCTACTGATATCAAACGCATATTATTTGACGAACTCTGCTAGAAGTTTCAGACATTTTTTGATTTTCGGCGCCGACTCATTCTCCCCAACCCAATAAAAATAATTCGTTTAGCGCTCTCACAATCATTGTGCTGAGACGAGCGGTGAATCAAAAGAATCCCATTCAAATGATTGAGGCTAAACAATAAACCTAGAATTATATCTACTATATATCTACGATATATAAAGCAGAAGAGACGACTGTCTGTCTGCATGTCTGTCTGTATGTCTGTCTGTCTCTCTGTCCGTCTGTCTGTCTGTTTGTCCGTCTGTTTGTATGTCTGTCTGTATGTCTGTCTGTCTGTCTCTCTGTCCGTCTGTCTGTCTGTCCTTCTGTTTGTCTGTCTATCTGTCCGTCTGTTTGTCCGTCTGTCTATCTGTCTGTCTGTCTCTCTGTCTGTCACAGGCACTTTTCTCGACGCCCAGATCGAATTACGAGATGCAGCTTTTAGAGCATACATACACGGACGCGATACTTGAGGTCCTCGAACTCCAAAGTATTGGAACAAAAAATATCAATTGAGAAGCAATAGAAACTAGTCAAATGTGGCTAGAAAAATGCAAAAAGCATTAGATAAAAATACTGAACATATGATGAGATAAAAGCTCTCAAAGTTCATCCACATTTCTTATGCATCTACCTAATATGTTTTGGAATAAAGCTTTGCAGAGCTTTCTTCAAAATTTAAATATGAAAATCATGCTAATTTCTTGTTAATCTCTCAAAAGCCGTTTTGTAGAGCAATGATAGATCTTTTTGATTAAACAAAGAATCAATCGAGCTTTTATGCGTTCCAGAAAAACTTTTGAAAGTCGGCGCTATTTCATAATAAAATTTATGATTAATGATGTAAATATGATCGTAAATAAAGTGATAAAGATAAAATAAAACAAGTTTATTTCCAAGGCAAACTTGAAAAAAACAAACATTTCCAAGCCATCTAAAGTTTTCTGCAGAGTAATTAAATAATCTCACGATTTTTTTTTTGATAATTCTAGAGTTTGCAGAGTAATTGTCTTGCAAATCTGCAGTCTAATAAAGCAAATATTTAGTGTTCTAGAAAGCTTTCTAGCAACATAAACTTTGTTGGACTAAAAAACATAAACTGAAGCAACATAAACTAAAAAAACATTGAAACGCTAATATTACACCAAGAGGAAAGCTTAATAATTGTGCAGAAAAGTGGCTCTTTTCTGTGAAATCTTATTTAATGTTTTGATTTGAATATCTGATTCTCTTGTCCCGCCTCTAAAAGATCGTTTTTATGATAAAAGGGACGGAGCCCACTTTGTATTGTCTCTTCGTATTGCTTTTCGTATCGCTATGAAACACTGAACCAACTATAGATTCTATTTTATTATATTTTCTCGCTAGATTAGTATTGTGCTAGATCCGGAATAAATCTTGGATTCGTGAGATTCGGAATGAATATCTAATAATCATTGCCCCCATCAGCATCCTCTCACGCACTGCACATTTTGGTGCGCAGTTCGCACGACAATAATGTTGTGCATGCAGTAAAATGCGTCGAATTCGTTAAACAACTTTATTTTTACCCCCACAAACATTTCTGCCAACAGGAAAAACAAAACTAAATCCTTTTTTCATTAAAATCAAACTGATTTCCGATCAGTTAGTCTCAATTTTTGGATCGAAAAACGTCAGATATAAACAAGGTCATTTATTGGAAAGGAAAACAAGGTGATTGGCTAGAAAAAGACAAGAAATCGAGTGATTACTCGATCATTATCACCTGATCATTATCAAATATTACGATGAGACTTATTTACCTGTTTCTACTAATTTGCATGGTGGGCAGGTTGGTGAAGGCTTTCAGTTGAAATGTAAATTGTGCATTGTAAATGCTAATTGAAGATCTAATCGACTGCATCGTACCTGTCTGGTATCGGGCAAATTACTTCCACTTAAAATTATTTCTACATCGAAATTGTTTTGTTGAGAAATTCTATGAAACCATGAAACTTTTCGAAGCTTTTAAGCCAAATCGATTTCCAAAAACAATTTCTAAATCGAAATTTTTAGCGTGGCCCCATGGTTCCGACAAAGGGTCAGAACGACGATTCGTCGGCCACACTTGTTCGTTTAAAACTCTTTTTGTTCTGATTAAGTTTTAGTATATATAAAATGGAAGAGACTTATGTCTGTTCGTCTGTTTGTCCGTCTGTCTGTCCATCTGTCTGTCTGTCCGCCTGTCTGTCCGCCTGTCTGTCCGCCTGTCTGTCCGTCAGTCTGTCTTTCTGTCCGTCTGTCTGTCCGTATGTTTGTCCGTCTGTCTGCCTGTCCGTCTGTCTGCCTGTCCGTCTGTCTGTCCGTCTGTTTGTCCGTTTGTCTATCTGTCCGTCTGTCTGTCTGTCCGTCTGTCCGTCTATCTGCCCGTCTGTCTGTCCGTCTGTCCGTCTGCTCGTCTGTCTGTCCGTCTGTCCGTCTGTTTGTCTGTCCGTCTGTCTGTGGTACGCTCCGTAATTATGTCTGCTCTATCGGTTAAAAGTATTCAGCTTTTGCGCGCGATATTTGGCTCCCGGGGGTTTTCGGCTATGAGGAATCTGACTTTCAGGTCCATTTTTAAAAAAGAGGCCGCTTAAATGGGTTATGGTAGTTTTAGTCATTTGAAAGTAACTTTTGTGCTAAAGAGTCTTTTTGTGCGCTCGACGAAAACAATTCAAAAAAACGAAACAAAACAACAACAACAAACAAAATTCTGTTTCTTTTTGCGTTCCTTTTCACTTTGTCTTCTCTTTTTCTATTGTACATGGGTCCTTTAAACTATATGCATTTCCCGAATACGTCCCGAAGGGACGTAAAGGTCCCGAAGCGCCCCGGATGGGTTCCTCAGCGGAAAACCCAGCCCCAGCGGAAAATGCGGACGAAGTGAGCGTTTTCTGCTGGTGTTATATATGTTACATTCGATCCAGACTGATTCTAGGTTGGACGTCCGATCTAGAATCAAGCCGATCCCTTTAAATCAGACGTCCGATCCAGACTGATTCGTGCCAAAGCTAAATCGGACGTCCGTTCGGAGTCAGTCTAGATCGGACGGATCTCTAGATCGACCGGCGTTCTAGATCGGACGGATTTTCATATAGAACGGATTTCTAGATCAGACGTAACACATACAAATCGATGCAAGTATTTTAACAATTAGTTCACTTTTAGTCGTAAAACAGTCACAAGAACGACTATCCGAGGTGGTGGAAGGAGAGGTGGATGGGGACGGAGATGGGGTAAGCTTCTCAATGAAATGCTTTGAAATATGTTTAAAAAGCAAAACGATTAACATTTGAGTACCACTGTGCTCAAGCTGTTTTACTTACAAACATCGGAAACTTTCAGGCTAACTACAAAGTTTCACTTTCAACAAGAAATGCATTGCTTCAATCTTCTTTCTTTAAAGACAATGAAAATAAAAATTTGCGTAAGAAAAGAAAAGGGGAAACAGTAAAATATCACAAAAAAATTAAACTACCAAATGGATAACATACAATTTATATACTCAAAGGTGTAACTGAGCAGTGTAACGGTCACCTGAGCACTTGGAAGATAGAGTGTTCGATTTTTGATTGGAAAACTGACGTATTAAATGCTTTTTGATGATTTGCTTAGGAAAATAGACCATAAATAGAAGCACATTTATTCTTCCAACAACGCTTTTATGATCACGTCCGAGCATTGAGTAAATTCGGGGATCTGAAACGATTTTTGATGTTTAGAGTTTAGAGATTAGAGTTAGCAGAGTTTTTTTTGAACATTACTTTAGTCTCGGCAAACATTTGTGTATATTTTGAAAGCAATTGTGGAGCATTGGTTAGATTGCATCGTTTCTCGTACTCCATCGCTGTACACTTTGCAATTGAAGCCCCTTTGCTGAAAAATAAAAATCGTGAAACTTTTAATAGAGCCAATACATAGAAATTTGCGAGGTTTAATTTTAAAGTGAAAGCTTTTACTTTTCAAGCTTTACTTTTCAATGACTCAGTTTCAATAAACAAGTATCGGAATACCCTTTCCCGATCGGTTGGAATCAGTTGGTCCGGACTCATTTTTTCAGATCCCAGTCGATCGGGCCAAAAACCGGGCCGACCGACTGAACGAGAAGCTGACTAACCACTTGTAAAGTGGACTGCCATAGGTTTTACGGTAACTACAGTCGTTATTCGACCTTTGAAACTTCGAAACTAACGATCTTTGATATAGCGTGCACTTCAAAATAACAAATCCTATATTCGGACCTGGCCAAACGCTTCATGAAACGTTAAGAAACAACCTTCGATATAATGAACTTTGATACAACGAATACTTAGAACACGTTTTGAACGTTTTAACACGTTCGGGACGATTCGGTCCACCAGTGGACGAAGGCCGTCTGGTCCCTGGGACGATTCGGGCCACCAGTGGACGAAGGCCGTCTGGTCCCTGGGACGATTCGGGCCACCAGTGGACGAAGGCCGTTCTGGACCCTGCGACGATTCGGGCCACCAGTGGACGAAGGCCGTTCTGGACCCTGGGACGATTCGGGCCACCAGTGGACGAAGGCCGTCTGGTCCCTGGGACGATTCGGGCCACCAGTGGACGAAGGCCGTCTGGTCCCTGGGACGATTCGGGCCACCAGTGGACGAAGGCCGTCTGGTCCCTGGGACGATTCGGGCCACCAGTGGACGAAGGCCGTTCTGGACCCTGGGACGATTCGGGCCACCGGTGGACGAAGGCCGTTCTGGACCCTGGGACGATTCGGGCCACCAGTGGACGAAGGCCGTTCTGGACCCTGGGACGATTCGGGCCACCAGTGGACGAAGGCCGTCTGGTCCCTGGGACGATTCGGTCCAAAATTTTGAATTTCGGAAATTTTTGACGCGCTATAACTTCTCAACTTTTTAAGATAATTTCAAAATGTAAAAAGATTCGATTAGTTCTTTTTAAGGCAGCAATATTTTCAAAGTACAGGTTCGGATTCAGTATGAAATTTAACATATAGGTGTATTTCGGGGCTAATAGCTTTGCGAGGCATCCCTCGTCCACTGGGGCAGTAACGCAAAAAAACGCCTCCTCGCGAATGGATACATTACCTTATATTTCATTTCCATATAACAAAGCATTTGCTAAAATATGGACAAAGTAAAATAGATTTCTACTTTTTGACTGGGATGCGCTTCAATGGAATCGACCATCACAATATCTTGTTCAGATATTGTGATGATGAAAAGATTATGAAAAGATTATTATCACGAAGCAAAGTCACTTATTTCCGAAAAGCCTTGGAAAGTAAGAATCATAAAAATTAAGAAACACACTTGCAATCACCGAAGCTTTCCGTTACATTTCCACAAATCCCCGCAATCGTTCGGTCCATTTCACTCGTTTTGCAGACCCACAGAGGAGTCACTGGAAATGGCCTTGACCCGTAGTTTATTTTATATGCATTTTTGAAGATTTATTGGGTTGGGGAGAATGAGTCGGCGCCGAAAATGAAAAAAATGTCTAAAACTTCTATTCGACTTCGTCAAATAATATGCGTTTGATATCAGTAGAATGGTTAACTAATTCTCTACAAAATGACATTTAAAAGAAAATTCAAACAGCGCCTCCGCTCAAGAAAAATCCATTTTTTCACAAAAACTACAAACTGTCATCTAGAAAAAACCATTGGTGGGATCTTCCTGCAAATTTGGCAACTTGAGTAATTGAATGTGCTCTATCTTTTTTATATAAACACCAAAGAAGGTTTATGTGAAAGAAACTGTTCAAATGATGAGTCGGACTCTTTGCCATTTTAACCAGCTGCCTTTGGAAGTTCATAAACTCCACGAAAGAAAAGCTTTGTGGAATCTCTCAAAAGTCATTTTGTAGAGAAATAGTGGATCCTTTTGATGAAACCAAACGTATGTTTAAAGAAGGCTTTATGTGTGCAAAAAGTCCCTTTCAAGTTTGGCGCCGACTCATTCTCCCCAACCCAATATAAGACCATTATCCTTTAAACTCTAATGTTGCCCTAAAGAATGTTGTAGCCATCCTTGACTCGTCCATCGCCACTTTATTTATCAAAGATTACATTACGCTAATTGCCCAATTGCTCTTTTTGATGTGTTATTCGGGGGTGGGACAAATGCGATCTTTTTTTTGCGCACCTGGACATTTGCGCACCTTTTTTTTTGCTGGAAAAGGCCTTAGGAAAGGTCGTAGAGCTTCGAAAATGTTTCCATACTAGGGAATCGTATGCGTAGATTCCGAATTTCGACAAATCAAAGCAAATCAGACCTCGCTGACACGTTAAATTTGAGCTAAAAGGCAAAAACTACGCAACTTAACGCTTTTCCGCAGTCTTTGCCTTTTAGCCCAAATTTGACGTGTCAGCGAGGTGTGATTTGTCGAAATTCGGAATCTACGCATACGATTCCCTTCTATGAAAACATTTTTGAAGCTCTACGACCTTTCCTAAGGCCTTATCCAGCAAAAAAAAGATACGCAAATGTCCAGGTGCGCAAAAAAAAGGTCGCATTTGTCCCACTCCCTGTTATTCTACCAACTTGAGCAAGTTATGCATTCTTAAAACAGTTTTGGGTTTTCTTTCCGTTATACTTCCGCCAAATTTGCCTTAAATTCATTCTTTTGCTATTTCCTGACGACGCGTTTCGCTTACCGACTACCGAAGCCGATGCAATATCGTTCTTTCTACAACGCCGCATCTTGCTTACTACTCGCACATGCGCCAACCATCACGTTATGAAGGTATCGCTCAATCATGGAGATGGAGATGGAGGATCCCGGATGGAGATGTGACAAAACGTCGTGCCGGACATCGTCCTGCGTGTTGGGGATCTGCCAAATGGAGAAATAAGAAGCATCCCGGCACGGCACTTCATTTCCTATCGAGCTCACTGAAACCATGGTCCGACAAGAAGTGGGAAAGGACGATTTCTACGAATGGGTGTTGCAACAAATTGCTACGGAATGAATCCCTCATGATTCTTAAATGATCAGGGGCTATTTTTGCGGATATATAACGGAAAAGTATCCACTTTTGCTATATTTAAACATTTGAGCTGAAAAGGTCAACACCAAGCATTTGGGCCATTTGAATGAGTCACAAAGAAGGTATTCATAAGAACCAAATTCTTCTATTGTTGATATAAAAACAAACACTCTCTTGAGAAAGCCATGAAAGCTGGTGAGCAGACGACCGAGAGAAACGTCACTCTCTCGTTATTCTCATCTGCTCTTCCAGCTTTTTTCGACCTTCGGCAGCTGTCGCTACACTTCTAAGATAAAATGGGTTAATTCAAGCCTGATTTTGAACTAAACGATCTTAATTTGAACTTAAATATGATAAAAAGACGTTATGAATGGATCAGATAGATAGATCAGACTAATTTAAGCAAGATTGTATTATTTGCTTTCTCGAAATTCAAACAATTTAAAAGTTACAAACCCGCAAAAAGCCTTCGCAAAATCCAAGTCCGGCACTTGAACAGTTGGCATCGATTGGATACCTTGAAAAATGGAAAGATTTTGTTCAAAATTGAAAAATTGAAAGATACTTACCACTCTCAGCAACAATAAGAATAAATAATATTAAAAATGCTGAGAACATTTCGAAGTAAAACGATGAAGTGTTTTCAACTTAAACGCACTTTCTCGAGACGCGATTGGTTTTTGTTTTTTACTTATCTTTTCAACTACTTATCTTTACTTATCTTTTGATCTAATCGATCAAATCAAGTGAAAGTGAAAGGGAAAGGAAATGAGATCATTTTAATGATAAAAAGTGCAATTTACTCAAAGTTTTTGATTCGAAGATTCGTACAAAAAGATTCGAAGACAATGGAGTAGAAGGGAGTCGAGAGAAGCGAAAAAAAAACCATTTTAGAAATTTAAATAGGAAATGGGCGGAACAATATAGCAGGTAGGGGATATGGAGAATCAGATAACTTTAAAACGCGCTACAAAAAGGAGGATAGAATTTACAAAAGGGGAAGAAAACTTATGCAGGAATCAACATAAAAAACTGGACAAGATTCCATCCATGGAATGCAGAAAAATGAAAAGAATGGCAAAAGGGATTTTCGTGCGAGATACGGTAGCGCATTCACGTGTCAGAAAGCGCGCCGCGCCGCTTTCGCGCCAGTTGCTTAAAACCGCATGTCAATAAGAATCTGACTCTAGACTTGATTTGAAGAGGAGGCAATCGGTTGAGAGTTGGAGGGTTGAGGTTGAGATTGGGCAACAATCATCACCTCCAAGAATACTAGGAATACTCTGCTCAATCTCAATCTGCTCAATCCAAGAGTATTCTTGTATTGAGCAGATTGAGATTGAGCAGAGTATTCTTGGATTGAGTAGATTGAGATTGAGCAGAGTATTCCTAGTATTCTTGGAGGTGATGACTGTTGCGTTTGAATTAGTGTCGATATCAGTGCGAAATGACTTGGTTCTTGGTCCAGAGATGTCTGTGAGTGAGTGGGTTTTACGTAGTGTCAAGTTTTGAAAATTCCTCTGATAGCACCGCAACTTGGCCACAGATTTAGTTGATGGCTTCAAAAACGTTAAATGCAAACATTCTAGTCCTCTTTTTTTGTAATTTTTTAAAAACTCAATCTAGTGCCATCACTAGGTTGAGTAGGTTCAACGAGAGGATCATTTCTCTTGAAAATTCCTGTTGCCTCAAATAACTTCGTGTCTAATTCTTTGAGGTTTCTTTGAGGGGTGAGATTGTGGAATTGTGGAGCAACTTAAGAGAATGCAAAAGCCTTGAGTTCTTTAAAAAAATTCTGTAGATAACCTAGATCACTCTTCTCTTGTGGGTAATTGATTGGATTTTATTTTTTATGTAATCTTGCAATCCTTGTTTGCCATGTTTCTTAAGGTGTTACCTCTGTAGATTGAAAATTTTCTCTTTTTCTCACTTTAATTCATGTCTTGAATAAAGTATTAGGTTGATGCATAAGTCTTTTCGTTCCTTTTCGTCTGCCGTTTCAAGCCAACAAATGCACCAATTAAACTACGGTTTATTTCATTAGAAAAAGCAATTATTTTTCTGCAAAATAACATTAAAACGGGTTTAAAAATATTTAATGCCTGGATTTTCTTGAGAGTATGAAGTCGGGTAGTCAAAAAGGGCTAACTCGATGATGCGGTTTAGACACCTTAGCTAAAGAAAACCTATCTTCGTGTCAATAGATAAAAGATAGAGAAAAAAAACGTTTGATATTTCGCCAAAATTTCAGAGAAATTCATTCAGCCAATTTTTCCGTAGAGTTTTTTGATAGATTTTTACGAAAAAGGCGTTTTTCACTCTCGAATTTGCTTGAAAGTGAACCGAAATTCATTTAAAAAGATGCAAATTCAACAAAAAAACACTTTTTATTTAGAGAAAAGCATAGGTTAATTGGTGAATTTTTTACTTTTTAACAGAAGTACGAAAAAAACGAAAAGACTTATGCATCAACCTAATATATACCACACAAATCAATGCAGCTTTTTGTTTATATCCAAATCGATCAAGAGATCAAGCTCAATGAGATCAAGAGTGCGTTAATCTTGTTAATCCTGGAATGAAACAAGAAGTGCTATCGAATCTCTCGATTTAATTCTCGAACAGGAACACGGAGTCCCCTTGGAAGCGACAAGTCACCAACTCTTTGCTCGGATTTCAGAACCAAATAAATCGTGACCATTCTGTAAAGAAATCAAAATCAAAAAGATCAAAATGTAACGTTTAAACTTTTAAAGACATAAGATAGTTTATTATATTTTTCAATCAAGCACAAAAGGCTAAAGTAACGGCCTTGACAAGAGCCAGATTCTAGACATGGACACTATAAACTACAAAAACGACGAACTGTAACGCTACAAACGCTTCTAACTGGCTTGAAATCTCCCGGATTGACATGATCTATAGCTCAAAAAATAGAGAATCCCAAGGGCTTTCGAATGGACTAAAACACACCCAAAAATATTAATGCTGTAGAAAGTTACAGTGGTTTGTAGCCTGACTCTTGCAGCACGTAGTCGAAGCGATCGACTCCGGCTACAAACCACTGTAACTCTCTTTAGCGTTGAAATTTTTGGGTGTGCGTCGGTCCATTCAAAAGCTCTTGAGATTCCCTATTTTTTGAGCTATAGATCATGTAAATCCGCGAGATTTCAAGCCAGTTAGAAGCGTTTGTAGTTTACGTTTATAGTTTTTTGTGCCCATGTCTACCAGATTCGGAATAAATGAACTATAGTCGTAAAAATAGCTTTCAATACTTCAGCTACGCAAAACGGGATGATCCCTAGCATATTTTGAATCAAAAACATCTCTATAAAGCAAAGAACGAACCCCTGAAAGCACGGGCCGCCGGCGTAGGCGAGGAAATTGCCAGTTTGATTGAATATAGTGGCGCACAACGGCCAACTCCTCAAGAACGCCCAGTAGATAAATGGGTTTATCAAGTAGATGACGGTTAGCGGTACGGTGTTCGCGATAATCTGATATTGATTATCGGTTGAAGTTTGGTGCCAACGCTGCTCACCTGTGCCAAAAGGAAACGCTCGCTAGCATTGTTCACGTTCACCTTTGTCCGCTGAAAGTTCCTCTTTTGAAACTGATCTCAAAATACCTTTTCTTTTTAGTTTACGAATGATTTTGATCATTATTAATGTTTATTCATACTCAATTAACCCACAAGAAATCATCAGGAATGAGTTTTGCTCCACTTTTTGGCAAACTGCTTACAACGGAACCCCTCCCGTTCGGAATAATCATCCGGCAGTCCATTTTTTGCAGTCCAACAACAGCTATAAAGAGCTCAACAGCTCAACAAATCTAAAGGAAAACAAAATTCAGGCTGGAAAAAGATTCTTGTTTCTTGCTTTCTTGCTTGAGATTCTTGCTAATATCTGTTCATTGCTAATATTCGTTCATTGCTAATATCAAATTTCCAGGTGATCTGCAAGGATTGGACATTGGACAATGTTGGCCGTCCTTGCTTTCAATGCTAATCGAAGAGTTGAACTCAATGGACAGTGCCTACAGCACTGACTAGTGTCTATAGATGCTTTTTTAAATCAAAAGGTGCTTTCACAGGCAGAGAATGGGTTCAATCGATGAAGGATGGAAGAGAAAAATAGTGAATCAGGCTTTAAATCTAGCCAAGGTGGGAATATCACGAATATCAGGCTATTGAAAGAAAAAAGAAGCACGGACCAGGAAATCTACGAGTAGATGATGAAAATCTAGATGATGAGAAGCAATAAGTGAGAAATTTGAAGAGATTTTGGTGCTTGAGTGGTGTTGATTCTATTCTATTGGGTTGATGGAAAAGTCCTTTCCGATTTTTTGGGAGAGTACCTTAAATTTGTCCCATTTTGACGTTTTATAGCTCATCCTAAAGCTGAATTCAAGACGGATCGATTGGTAAAAACCGTTTTGAGATATCTCTTTTCTAAAAGTTTTTACAGCTATTTTAGATCTGAGAGTCGCTGGTTCGACTTCCACCGGTGACAATATTTTTCAAAAATTTTTTGCTAAGCTTCTGAAAATGCGTGTCTAGGGGTTATTTTTGACGCTGATCACGAAACACATGTTTTTAGCCTAGGTTTCTGCATGGAAAACTAACGAAACGTGAAAACAGCCATTTTTTGGCTCTGCCGCCCTTTACTAAAATAGCTGTAAAAACTTTTAGAAAAGAGATATCTCAAAACGGTTTTTACCAATCGATTCGTCTTGAATTCAGCTTTAGGATGAGCCATAAAACGTCAAAATGGGACAAATTTAAGGTACTCTCCCAAAAAATCGGAAAGGACTTTTCCATCAACCCAATAGATGATGAATTAGAAGCAATGAGTGGGTAATTTGGAGTGATTTTGAACTTGAGTAATGTTGATACAGATGATGAGTAACTTTTGATGTATTAAGTGTTTAAATTATTCCTTTGTACATATTTTATGGTTTTTCTTTTTGTTTTATTACTTTGATTTGTTATTTATGAGTTAATTTTGGTGTCTAGTTAATGTCAGCTCCGAGTCAAACTGATATTTTAGTTACTATTGTTATTATTGAATGATTTGTCTAATCTTATGCAAATGTGTTCTCCTCTGTGCTTATCCCTTTTATTGTCGAGAAGGGGCGGTCCTTAGGATTGCCTAGGAGGACAAGTGAGACTCTCATTTTGGAGTC